AAAAATCCAGTTACTAGCTGTGACCTCTCCAATGCAAAATTTACATAGAAATCAATATCATCGGTATTTCATCGTAATTATTTTTCAGAATATTAGAAACCCTCAGGACGAGTATATTTGATTAAATATCCGTGAATGTACTATCTATAATATTTTTAATTTATTGAAAAAAAAGTGGCCATAAGAATTTTTTTAATGAATTTATAAACTTGATTGTTTGCCATTATACTTATTCCCAATTAAAAGCCGATTTAATTTGAACAATAAACAGAATTTAATCATTTCGACAAGATAGAGAGAAATCGATCAATTAAACGAAATAGATTAATTTAATTACTTACAAATAATTTGTTTATTTCATGCAATCAAAATCAATGGAGTATTAATTAATCAAATAAAATGTTACTTTATAATTGTATAAATAATACAATATAAAGCTACTTATTGCAATATTTGAATACGTAAGGTAACGAACTACGTTCCTTCATAATTTGTATATTTGTATTTTTTTTTCATTGTAAAAGATCATATAACTAACTTTCTAATAAAATATAAATTAACTTTATTCAGCATGATACGTACATGACAAAATCTCAACAAGCAAGGCCTTTCTGTTCTCTTTCAAGCACTCATGTCTTTCTTTCTTCATACTATCTTTCTCTTCCACTCCGACGCACATTTCGAGTAGGTTCGATCTTTATCCATTTCTGACCCAAGATAGTCTGACAAAAAAGAACACACAGAACCGTTGGTTTATCTTTAACTTAAGCAGATCTTGCGTCGTTTAAAGGAAATCTAAAAGATCCTTGAAAAATATTCAAGTTTTGAAATATTTTCTAATGAATTTATGTGATTGTCGTATTTTGTAAATATATTAAATTTTTAATTAATCCTATCTACTGTGGCCATCTTACATTTTCTGTTTGTTCCATTACAAATAATACAAATAAATAAATACAATGTTCATAAATCTATCCTCGTTTGATTAAATATTAGGACATTAGAACTAAGGAAAATAGTGAAAAATAATATGCATTCAATTCAAATGTCACCTTTATTTTAACCCTAGAATCACAAATAACGCGAAAATCCACGCCGCGAGCTTCGAATACCTAAGCTTTACCTTCGAATAAATAAGGTAGGTGAGCTTGGAAACTTTCGAAGATTCGCAGAATCGCTTCTGGCTTCGCATCTGTTTACAGGGTTTAAATCATGAGAGAAAGAGGAGAAGAAAGAGGAGAGAGAGAGAGAGAAGGAATAGAAAGATAAGGCTTGATTTCTCTCGTTTACCAAACTTTTCATGGCAGAATGTTAAATAAATTCCCTTTTCAAAAGAAATGAATGGAAAGAAAAGGGACTAGACAATAAAGATTCCGGAAGGAAAGTGTACTTGACTCGAGCCCTTCCTTTTTTTTTTTTTTATTCAAAAAGAAACTTTCCCCTGAATTTACCGAAGTTATCGATTTTTATTATTCAATACTTCATATTAATTCTATTATTATCGTGTCTACAACACAGCACACAATTTAATAGACAAACATTATTATAATAAGATTTAATAGGAACGTTTAAATAGGAAAACAAAATTAATATCGCCACTAATGTAATTAAACATTGGAATATTTACAAAGGAATTTATGAAGTTATCGATTCTTCTTCAACACTATGTATAATTCTATTTTAATCATATTTACAACACACATATAAACACATTTTTTATTAATAAATTTAATACGAACGATTAAAAAGGGATCAAAATTAAACACGCACATGCACGCATGCACACAGGTACGAAAGAGGATTAAAATCGTCATTAATTTAATTGACATATTTAAATATTGAAATATTTGTGAAAGATATAATGAAGCTGTCGATTTCGTAATGTATTATTTAGATTCAGAGGATTTATATTCTTTATTAGGATGTACATTATTAGGATCATAATCATATAATATCTGAAAAGACATTTTAGTAAATATATAATAAGAACGATATTTTAAATAAAATAAAATAAATAATTTAAAGGAAATATTCTTATTGACATATTTAATAAATTTAAACATTTATTAGTCTTTCAATTTTCGCAGATAGTTCGTTTCACACAGCTTTTGCTTTACGCGGCATAAAATACGAATAAAATCCGTTAATGTAGAAAAATAAACGCTAAAGAAAAAGCTAATATAATCTATGAACATATTTGTTTAACATATTTTTATGTGAGCAGAAGAAAATTCTAATAAAAATTAAAAGAAACTTAAACGAATATTATGCGTATATGTCGGTGTTGATGTAAAAATCAAAAATCAATTAGTATCTTTTTCTTTTTTAATTCGCACGTAGTACCAATTCTGTTTTTAAATTTGCATTTCATCGATATATGATGAATTCATTAAAAATTGTAGAAAAAATGTATTTTTTGGTCGCTTAAAATGTGATCGCATAAATTGATACTGTATACAAAAAGAGAACATAAAAATTACCGTATGAATCGATGAATGCGCGTGTTGGAATATTTTGAAAAGAATTTACAAAGTTATCGGTTTTTGTAATACCTTGTTGAATGCTTTTATTATTATTATCATATTTGCACAGATTTTTGTAAATACATTGAATACAAATGACGGAATGGAAAGAAAAAAATAACAAAAATTAAAATTATCATTCATATAATTAATATTTTCAAATATTGAAATATTTTTGAAAGATAAGGTATCAATTGAATGCTATTTTTATTTAATCATGCTTACACGTAAACATAGTTTTGTAAAAAGATTTAATACAAGACAGAATAATCCAAATTTTTAAAATATTCAAGTTTTCAAATATATTAAAAGATCATAAATAATTACTAAAATATATTGAAAAAATTTTGGAGATATTATTTATCGAGAATATTTATTATCCATGTTATAAAAAGAGCAGATAAAATAAAAATGTTCCTTGATGTAACATCGAATTAAGTTAACGATTGTTCGCACTTCTCGCATTTCTTGATCCCTAAAGAATCACCAACGGAAATTCCAGGAGATGCTTCGTCGAAAGCAATACCACTTTCTTGCCTTTTCTCGAGATCGCTTTCCATTTCCTCGTCGCAAACTAGAAAACGGTTTAGAATTCGCTTTCGTTTCTCTCAGAAATATGTGTATAGGAAACAGTAATGAGTATTACCTACGCAAACTTATACCTGTATATATACTTATTGTTAAATACATACAATATATTCATGCATATTGATATACAGGGTGATTCATCAGCTCTTGCCACCTAAATAGCTCCGAAAGTATGATAGTGGCAAAAAAGTGAATACGGAAAAAATAGCATGAAAAATTCAGGACTACAATATAACAGTAGTATTTTTTTGATAGATTAACTCATTTTCAAGATTTATTAATCAACTTTGTTTTTTTAAATTCAATGTTATATTTTAACACTTATTTTCAGATAGCGGCTGACATAATGGATTCAATGATCTGCAACATTAAATACAAAACCTGACAATGACTAATAAAAACCTTTCGGAAAATATCTGCTCCGTCCGTTGTCAAAACAACTAAATGATAATGCAACCCTGACGCGACCACGACGCGACCATGACGCGGAAGAGCTGTAATGTGGCCGGCTTGTTCGCCAGATTTGACCTTCGTTGATCTTCAAAAATATTAATGTTGTACATTATTGAATTTGTCTTAACAATCGCTATCTGAAAATAAGTATTAAAATATAATATTGTATTTAAAAAAACAAAGTTAACAAATAAATCTCGAAAATGACTCAACCTAGCAAAAAAATATCCTTGTCATATTATAGTTCTGAATTTTTCATGCAACTTTGTCCATATCCAATTTTTTGCAACTATCATACTTTCGGAGCTATTTAAGTGGCAAGAACTGGTGAATCAGCCTGTATATTAAAAGGTGTCACACTAAATTGAATTAGATTCTTTATTAGCTACATCGTATATAAATATATCTAAATGTTTCTATATATTGATTTATATATGTTCAATTTCAATTTATTAAAGCATATATATTCGGACGAAGAGTACATATCTTAATATATATAAATTACGTGTCACGTTGTTTGTCCGCAATGGACTCCTAAACTACTGAACCGATTTTAATAAAATTTTTCACAATGTGTGCAGTTTCATCCAACTTGAAAGATAGGATAGTTTATATCTCAATTTATAATCGCAATATTATTTTATTGCGAATTATTTGTTTATTAACAAAGAGTCATGATTATCTCTGTTAGTTCGACAAGATTCTAACAGAAGGCAGTATAAGGTAATTCGTTGACTTAAAGACGTGTGTATCAGACTGATTGTGAGCCACAGAAACGCGTGGCGGGGCACTCCTAGTATAATATATTGTATTGGTCTATTTTGTATATTTTAATATTCATAAATTTTAATTCAAATATTCTAATTGAAAATGTAAAATACATTACTATTGATTAAATAAATAGATAAATATTTCAATAAACTTAAGTGTAATGCGTCTTATTAAAAATTTTAAACGCGCAATCATCGATAATACAAAAATAAATATACGTACGTTTAAATACGTGAAACATTTTTGAAAAGATTTAAATGCAATGCATTTCAGAAATGTTGAACACACAATCATCGATAATCCATAAATAAATATATTATTATATAATATGTGAAACATTTTTAATACACTTAAACGTGCAATATATTTCAAAATTTTCTACCGCATAATATTCTATAATGTATTCATAGGATATATTAGAATAGGTGCAATATTTTAGTACACTTGCATTCAATACTTATATATATATATATATATTAGAATACATGAGCGCATTAGAATGAAACTTAAATGCATTATATGTCATAAAAATACACAATACAGATGCAATATAAAAGAAGAAAAATATATGGCTATAACGATGATTAATATAGAAATAATTCTTATTAATTTATTATATTAAAATATTAAATGAACGTAATATATTTATGTTTTAAAAATTTGCAGTATCATTTTACGGGGCAAGTTACATCCATCTTCCAGTTCAAGAGGCCAAGGGTGCTACTGACATCAGTTTCCGCTTTCGAACTCATCTTTCTGATGCGATGCTGCTATTGGCTGCCGGCAAGACGGATTACTGCCTGATCAAACTGGAGGCAGGCAGATTGAAGGTTCGTTTGCCCTAACTCGTTTCTTAACTTCTATTAATAAGCCTTCTGTGTTCTTCAAGGGTCTTCGTTCGAGCTGTCGTTTCGTCGTTAAATGCCAGCACGTGCGCTATGCTACTTTATGCTATGCTATGCTATGTTACACTATGCTATGCTATAGCTGTCAGTTTTCTCTCGTATTTCTCTGAACAAGAATTAGACTTTTACTTTTTTTCTCTCTCTCTCTTTCTGTAATTCTTCTTTCTTTATTTTCTTTTTGCGTAGGAAAAAAGGAGAGGTAAAAATATATAGAAAAGGAAAAAAATGAAATAAAAAGATGAACAAAATGAAAGCTCGCGACGAGAAAGATATCTTTATACTATGCAAGGCATCACGAGGTTATCCCTTTTAAAAGACCGATGCATGGGCTTAAAACTCAACGATATATACAGGGTGTTTCATTTAAATCGAGTACTTGAATCTTATCTTCTTTTTGATGATACTAAAAAATGTCAAAGAGGAGAAAAGTTCTTTGATCCAAGAAGGGTGACAATATTCTGATTAAAATACTTACTATTCACAATATGATACATCAAAAGTATATGTAAAAAATGATACTTTTTGTTAGTCACATAAATTAAACACCAACTTTTATAAATGATATTCTTGTTTAGAAAATTGATCGCATAATTGTAAAAGAAAGGAAATATATTCGATATTACGGTTAGATAAAATACATCTTCCATACATATGTATAATGAGAGACATATACGAGCTTTATCGTCGTTCCTCGGTCGCATTTAAAATTCTAATATTTTCGAAAGATATCGGGTAACGCGTTTTATACGTCATAGATATCCACCGAAGAGTTCTCCTGTTCGCTAGAAAGATCGGAAGTTGCGAAGAGATGCAACTTATAGTGCAATAAGATAAAAAGAAGAAAAGATAAAGGAAAGAAAAAAAAATGAAAGAAAGAAAATAACACAAGAGCGTTCGTATAAAATATATTTGCCTGTGCATGTTGTTGAAAGTTTATAGACTATGCATTACACTGAAAAATCTACATAAATAACATTCGGTAATAATACTTTAGTATTCAGTAAAAAAGGAACTTCTTTATCCTTTGAAAACATAGCATGGTGTTTTGTGATAGGATTAACTCGAATGAGAGAAGCTTTGGCACGGGACTTTCAACTTTCTGTTTTTTTTTCTGTTTACAGAATAATTTTCTTTTTCTCTAGAAAAAAAAAGAAAAAGAAAAATTCAACTCTCTACTTTCAACGCGTCTTAAATTATATTACTATGTGACATGCGTACTTACGTGCACTCTTATTGAATAAATTACGACAATTTTATAAATGAAATGAAAAAAAAAATAAGAGAGAATAAATAATTAGATTAAAAAAAAAATAAAAAAAAGTAATTATGATAATGATTATCGTGTATGTAAATAGATAAATAAAAAATATCTTTGTATCGATCCATGTAATGTTTCGTAGTTTCACGCAATTTCACTTTTTAATTTAACTCGAAAGGACGAAAAATCGGACCTTTTTACCAACTTGGTTTTTCCATCCTTGCCGACATTTCAATCCGATGTCGACGCTTTTACAAGCATAAACTCTAGCACGGTGCCGGCAGCACTTTGCTCTCCTTTCCTAATTTCTCACGTGTACACAGCAGAGATTTTCACGACGAACGAAGCGATACTAATGAAAACTAGCTTGATCTCTCTCTCTCTCTCTCTCTCTCTTTCTCTACGTAATCGTGTTTTCACCAGGTGTCGTTTCTTTTAGAATTTATTTACTCATTGATCTCATAAATTTCCTTTCAACGTTATCTTACATCTACAATAAATAACGTTGATACTAAGATCTCATCAAATTTTCAATTTGCTTTATTGTAAGACAAATAAGAATTTCTATTGTCAATATAGACCGTCATGATACGCCGTATCATAGCAAATAAATAAAACGTCTAGCACTATGCAAACATATACGTACATATATATATATATATATATATACATATATTCGTTCACAGTATCCAGATAATTTTACTTTATCAAACTTGCCTCAGAGTTTTCTTTATCAACGAAGAAAGCAGAAAATAATGTAATTTTTGTCAGGAAAAGAAGTAACCATATAGCTGGATAAAAATAATATCTAAAAGAAAAATCTAAAATAATATAGAGAAAGTCTCATAATATAAAGAAAAATGAACTTACAATTAGATAGAATATCGTGGTAAACACGCGCTTCGATGAACTTTCCTCATAGTATAAACAAGCTACAAATAATCCTATAGAGAATTTCAGAAGCGAAGCAACATCTCGAACATATTAACCTTTTCGAATATCTTATAAATGTTTAAAATGTTCTAGTCGGAAGTGTATGCAAACTGCAAAAGATGCTTTTCTTCCCTATCTTTCTCACACATATACACTATGTATGTTGGTTTGAACCGATATAATGCAATTTCCACGTCGGATAGAAGCGTTTTCGTGATATACGCGAATTACATTCCCTCTATCTCACACATATATATATATTCACATACAAAAACACAAATACCTATATATATATATATATATATATATATATATATATATATATATACAACTCGGTTCTCTCTCTCACTCTTCACTCTTTTCAAGAAGCAGCGAATCTCATGAAAGACTCTATGCAATCGTAGTAGTGGTAGTGTAGCGATGATGGTGGTGTTGGTGGTAGGGTGCTCGCGTAGCAATTGCATTTTTCACGTGCATAATGACCGCGTTATTAACGAACGAACGCGGATTGCTGGTGGTGGTGGTAATGGTACTGTGTGCTGGTACTGTGTGCTGGTACTGGTACTGGTACTGGTACTGGTACTACTAGTACTTCGCTCTGAGCGAAGACTCGTTAAGCGAAAATTAAATGCTTCTGTCGAGTACACCGAGTAGAAGGGAAGATAGGCAACGATACATAGGGGACCTTGCTGAGAACGTCAAGGGCAATCCTGAAGGAGCTTTCTGTTACTAGATAATAGTCACTAAAAGAGAAAGATAGCAAAGGGAGAGAGAGAGAGAGAAAAAAGTCGTTTCAATTTCTTGGAAAAAGAACGTTGACAAAATGAAAATACTTTCACGAGACGGACAACTTGATAAACGAATTTATATCTATAATCATATTTATGTATATATATACATATGTATATACATACATGATGAATCCTAAAGAAGGATAAAAGAAACATTTTGTGAAAATAAATTTTATTATGGCAAATCTACATTTGATTATTTCTACATCTTATAATAGATTTTTTCATTAATAAGAAAAGAAAAAATTCGTTGAAATTTAAACGAAGAAATAATAGGGGATTTCTAGAATGATAAAACGTTTTCTTAAATGCATACATAATAATTTCATAAAAGTAAATCTAAATTCTATTATCTTCATATTTCACAATTTTGTATAATTTTTTTTTTTTATTAATTAGATAATAATTAGACAAAATATAATTCGTCGTTATTTCCGAGAAAAAAAATAATTTGCGAAACTTAAGAATGATAAAACAATTTAGTACAAATGAATTTCATCAAAGAAAAATTCTATTTAATTATTTTCATATATTCCGTATTTTATTTGAAATTTGTAATTTTAATGAGGAAATAATAGTGAAACTTAGGAATAAGAAAATGATTTTACTTGGAATGTTTCAAAATTAATTTCATTAAAAAACAATCTTAATTTGATTGTCTTCATATCTTTCGGTATATTTACAATATGATAATACTGTGTTATATATAATATGAAAAAGAAAAAGTAATAGTAAATTTCTGAAGAGTAATAAGACGATTCTATAAAAAAAAAAAATATGATTATTCTATCCAATACTTATTTCATTTTCATTTTAAGAAAGAAAAGATTCGTTTTAATATCCAAGAAAAAAAAATGATCATTTTTATCAGTCTTTTCATATTTATTTGTCTTTTTTTTTATGAGCATATCTACGTAAAAATAGTAAAGGTATATTTCTGAAACAATATAGGTCTTCCGATGAAACAATAGAGAGATTTTATAAAGTATAATAATAAAATTTAATAAGAATGGTAATTCGATATAATACATAATTTCTTTTTCATATTGTATTATTTAAGAAAAGAACAATTTGTTGTAATATCAAAGAAGAAATGATCATTTTCATCGTTTTGTATATATATATATATATATAATAATAATAATAATAATAATAATAATAGAGATGCATTTTGAAACGGAAGCACTTTTGAATCTCGAACAATTTGATATCTTGAAACGTGACACAGAATAGCTACGTCCGTAATAAAAGCTAAATTTCTATCGTAGCTTTCGTATCGGTGAGGTCGACGGCGTTTCGTACGCGTATCGAATATCGTTGCCTTTATATTATTACTATTTCGATATCGTAGCGATAGTGGCGAAGCGTATTTTACATTTTTCGACAGTCGTTCTGTTTTTCGCTTTGCTACCTTTTATAGAAACGAGAGGCAACTTTTGCGTTAACATACAGTAGGAAGGGGAATATTACTATATAACAGTAGATATCACGAATTCCTTTTAATACATATTTCAAATAACGAAGATACACGAGACTAATAAAAGCTTACATTTTTCTTTTTTCTTTTTTTTTCCTTTAATTTTACGCAATAAATAAATAATATTTTTATATAAGAAAAAAGGTTACTACCAATCAGTCGTAACTTTTATTTTATGTTTTTTTTTAAATATCGATTGGATGTACAATTAAAAGAAACTCATTAGACATTTATTAATTAGTTTGTCAATACTATAAATTTGGTTAATACTAATGAAAAAAGAACAAAATGACAATTAAATAAAAGAAAGTTAAAAGTCTTATGAATATTTCTGAATGTCAGAATTTCAACTTTTTTCAAATAATAATCTAAGAAGTAGAGAGAAGGATAGTAATCACTCAAGCAGCCTACCGACGTTCTACTTACTTAAGAGCTTTAATTGGCTTCCTTCTTTCTCGGAGTTCGT